AACCTTTATTTAAGTTTGTGAGAAATAAAGAAAGATTTATCCACCCCTCTTCAATAGGTAGCAGGTCACTTTTCTAGCCAAAAAATGAATTAGGGTGCAAAGTGCCAAAAAATATAATTGAATGGTGCATTCTGCCATTTTTTTAATTTAAGGGTGCCAAGTGCCAATGACATGTAATTGAAGGGTGCAAAGTGCCAATTACCCCACGGAAGGGTAATAATCTCTGACGCCTCACAAAATCATTAGGGTTTATCAGTCGTCGACTCTTGGCATCAAAATCTTTGGAGTAGTCCGTAACAATAAAAAAGGCAAAAAGGGAAGAGGGTTCAAACTCCATGGACAAGATATCAGAGTTACCACAAGATATCTTGCAGCGAATACTTTATTGGCTATCCCAAGAAGATGCTGTCCGAACCTCAGTATTGTCCAAATCATGGCGTAATATTTGGTGCACTCGCCACAATCTCCACTTTTCGGATGCCGCCTTTAAAGGAGATATGCATCAATTTCTCTCCATAGTGAACACCACTTTACAACTGTATCGTGATCAAGGACTGTGCGTGGATGAATTTCATGTTTGTATGTCGGTATTCAGTTTCGACTGTGCATCCGTTTCTCTTGTTGAAGAATGGGTTCGAACACTCACAAGCATGTGCGTTAAGAAGTTTTGTCTCTGTAATCTTCCCAAATTGCCCTCTGTAGAACTGCCCTCTGTAGTCTTTGGAGCCGAATCTCTCCAAGATTTACATTTGGAAGGATTCGTGTTGGACCGAAAGGCTATTGAAAGGATAGTACCTCTCAAGAATCTAACATCACTTATTCTCCAACGAGTCTCGATCGAGGAGGGTATTTTCGAGAAGATAATCTCATGTTGTCCTTTCATTGAAATTTTGGACATCAGAGTATGTACAATGTTAAGAAAAATTATAGTAAAAAATCTTCATAATCTCAAGTACTTTTCTTTTTCGGACGATGTGGATCATTCACACTCTTTTGAGGAGGAACTTTGTATGGTCGAAATCCACACCCCATCTCCTGAAACCATCTATATCAGTGAAGGCAATGTTTGGTTCCACAAAGGACCGGATTTTTTTCGCAATCTCAAGCATTTAAGGTTGTGCCTTGTGAAATCGTCACTGGAACACTTGTGGTCGTGTAAATTCCCAAGCCTCGATTCCTTGATTCTTGCGAATTGTGACGGACTGAAAGGAATCGAGGTATTTATTGATGCCCCAAACGTAACCTATTTTGGATATCATGGAGACTTTATCCCATCCATCTCTTTTTCAAATACTACTTCCAGGGAATGGATTTCGGATATTGATCTAACATATGACCTTTCAGGCGATGCATCATGGTTCATTAAGCTACATGAACTGCTCAAGTCCTTAAGCCAGTCTGAAATTTCTCTGTATTTTAATTGTTATTATCTGTATGCTGAAATTCGAGAAAACATTAATTTGGAACCTGCATCAGTTGTGGTGGAGACCTTGCAGTTCAGTTGCCTCCCTTCATCTATGATTTCATGTCTTTTAAATGGTGTGTTTAGTATTTGTCGTCCAAGAAACATCGAAGAGGACCCCTACGGCGACAAATGGGAGAGGAAAAGGATGGAGCGTCTGTGGAAGATTCTAACGGAGAGAAATATTACAGAGGAAGGTCGGTGCTCACGCGGTTTGTGGTTTCAAGATTTGGAGGAAGTGAGAATGGAGATTTATGACGATAATCGTAAAGAATGGAGTCCGACAACTCTATCTGAATTGCCAACGTACAATGACCATAATCGAAAAGAACGGCAGGAGATGAGTTTGATGGAATTGCCAGATTATCGCGAATATAATCCAAATGATCAATGGCATCCAATTTGTTTGTCCAGATTGCGAAATGAGAATCGAAGAGAATCTATTCGGTTTGCATTGAAATGGATACAAGATTAACGAGATTAACTAGTGTTTGTTCTTCTTGTTCTGTTTTTCTTTTCTTTTTTCCAATTAGTTTGTCCAGATTGCAAATAGTATTTTTTTTTTTTGAAGTTTGTGGAGTGGTTATGCAGTTTTTAAGGAATCTTCATAAATTTTACATTCTATACATTACGGTTTATTAAAAATACTCAAGCTATATTTTCTCAACAAATTCTGCTTTTTTTCCCTTTTATTTCAATTATAAATGAAACAAGATTTTCAAAATTCTAAAATTTCTGATGTCTGCTATCTTTTTTCAGTCAATTAGACTTTTTTTTTCAACAGAGTTGGTCACGATTTTGATATGAACATCCGGTTTAAATTTCACCGGGTGTAGAATGGAATTAATGTTCTTTATGTTGCTCTTATATAAATGACACCGAACTAATGGTGAATGAAAAGGGAAAACACATGTGAAACTCTCAAAGGAAATCAACTCGCCACTCAATAGAAATCCACCAAAGAGATAAGAGAAGAAAGTTTATACGCTGTTATTTATATAAATTATTTTCAACTACAAAATTGAACTGCTCAATACAATGAGGAAAATCATGACAAATAAGCTCATGACAAGGGCAAATGGTAAATAAGCTCATGACAAAGGCACTTAATTAAAAGAGAGACATCCAACTTTTTCTCTTTCAAATAAATCCAGTTCATTCAAACTTATTTGCAAATAAGAAAAATCCTTTTATATATACCAAAATTACCCCCAATTCATTGAAACCCATTTCAACTTCAATTTCATGACTTACACCCCAATTTAGCCCAATTTCATCAATTAACCAATTTTAACCCTAATTTCAATTTTGACCTCAATTTTAACCTAATTTCAATAATAATAATAATAATAATAATAATAATAATAATAATAATAATAATAATAATAATAATAATAATAATAATAATAATAATAATAATAATAATAATAATAATAATAATAATAATAATAATAATAATAATAATAATAATAATAATAATAATAATAATAATAATAATAACGTAAAACAAGAATTTGGAACTATTCACTAAAAGCAAGAATTATTTAGAATTTATCGAAAACCACAATGAAATTAAAGTAATCCACTTTAATATTAATGTCAATGTAGATGGAAATGTCAAAATCTACTCCGCACAAATAGCGGATTTAATAAATGAAAATGGTGAAAACCACTCTACGCAGTAGTGGATTTAATAATGAAATGTCAAAATTCACTCTCCGCAATAGTGAATTGACTTTCGCTAAAATGACTCTCTATTATAATTCGTATATGCTTACGTGCTCCCTTTGTCTTTTGGAAATTTCAAATTTGACGTCACCAAAAAAACATGGTCTCATAAAATCAAACCACCACAAATTGCAATATTTAGAAAGAACACAAATATGAAGGAGTAGCGGCGGTGGCGATTTGAGAAAGGAGACATTGGGCAGCGGTTGTTGGTGGATCGGAGGATAGGGAATCCTTGTGGGAGATGGATTCGACGTGTGAGGGTGGCGGTAGAGAGGAAAGAGAGGGCGGCGGCGGTAGAGCGAAAAGAGTGGGGGAGGCAACGGTTGCTGGAAAGAAAAAAATAAGAAGAAAGAATAGAAGTGTGAGGGGAGATCGGGGAGGAAAGAGTTGGGGGATGTGGAGAAATATAAAGTAAGAGAAAATAGGTGTTTGATGGTTTGGACTAAGGGTATTATAGTGACATGCATTACTTATGGTAATTAAAACTCATGAAAGATGCCATTTTTATCACATAAGTTTGAGAAAGAGGAATTTTCAAATTCTTTTCCATGATGAGTTCTAATCCTAGCTATATCTAGAGAGACCTGATTACACATTAGATTGTGAAGTTTCTTAAAAGCTTCAAAGCTATCAAATTTTTCTTTTAAGAAATAGACCCATGAGAAACGAGAAAAATCATCAACACATACAAAAATATATTTTTTACCCCTCATACTTTCTACCTCAGCTGGATCCATATTATCCATGTGCGATAATTCCAAACATCTTTGAGTTCTAAAGTGTTGGAACACCTGGTGTGACTAGGGGTGGAAATCGGACTGATCGGATCGGATTTAGGCCTTTCGGAATATTTCCGATTTTTTTCGGAAGTCAATTAGCCATTCCGATTCCGATTCCGATTTTTTCGGATTTTAAAAATGGATTCCGATTCCGATTTTTTCGGAAATTTCGGAAAATCGGAATTTTTCGGAATATTTCATTTTCGGAATTTTCGGAATATTTTCGGAAATTTTCGTAATATTTTCGGAAATTTTCGGAATATTCAGATTTTCCAAAAAAAATTTTATTTCAAAATATATCATTGAATGAATAATATTAATAATAAAAAAAATATAAAAAAAGACTCACTTCATCATATAGACAGACACACAGTAGAACAATACTAATAACATCAACAACAAACACAAAGACCTGCTTTCTTGATGAAATTAAATTATAAAAAAAGAAATAAAGAGAACAAGCATGCCTAGGTTCAAAATACCAACAATACAACACCTAATATACATCCAAACAAAAAAACCAGAGAGGACATCCACATAGAATCACTCTCCAATTTTTCTCAATTGTTAACCTTCAATGCATTGATATCTATAATGAAAAAACAATCAAAAATATTAACATTTAGAAATAATTGTAACAAAGTAAAAGTATTATAAAATTGAAGAGGAATACATACTCTTTTCTATTGATAAGAGCTTATCGAGGTCTTCTTCAACATCAACTAAAGGACCGCTTCTCAAACCAATCTTGACCACACACTAAAGATGTATCTTAGATCAATTACATTGCTACCAAAATTTTCTCTTGTTCCTCCCCTTGTTTTGCCCTTAAAACGTAATTCCTTAAATAGTTGCAATAGGTAAATGACAATTAGAGCAGAAGGGATCATAAGTTCCAGACAAGGATCTAAACTCATAAACACCAAATTGACGGAGCTTATTGGATCTTAAGAGAAAGAAAAAAAAATCGACCTTCGTAACATAAGGAGCTGATGAACTCATAAATTGTACTTAGGAAGCATACATCTTAAACTTTCAGCAAATATTTTGAATTATCATATAAGATGTTTTGACATTAATATGTTAGCCACAACCAAGAAGCATCTCAATAGGAGATGTAAGAAAAAACATAAATCACAAGATTATGATACAAATTATGTACTAGAATAAGATATTCATGAAGAAGCACCTCTAACAATTCATAAAATTAATAAATGGGAGACAACTTACCATCTCAAAAAGCCCCTCTAACAGTTCCACTTAAATGGATTGGGTCCTTAAATGGACAAGATCCGAGGGTTTGGTCTAAGATGGGTTAAAAAAAAATAATACCCGTGAAACCCGTCGCGCTCCACTATACAAAACGACGTCGTTTTGTTTATATTATGTAGTATAATAAATTAATAGTGTATAATTCATGAATAAAGTATCTATTACATGTCAAAAATTACATTTATAACGACGACATCGTCTCGTTTTGTCTATGGTTATCTATTTTATTTTAAATCTTGTCTTTTAAAGTTTGAATTTAGTTACTCTTTTTTGTATTTATGGTTAAAACGTATTAATTTTGATTTACTCGTGATATTTAACATTGATGTTATTCACGTTTGTTTCAATTTAAAATTTTACGCTTGGTCAGTCATCTTAATTTCTAAATAATTTCGCGTAAAACTTATAAATTATTAAAGAAATTAACTTTTTTTAAATTACGAGGGGTTTCAACCCGTGAAGGTTGGGTTTTACTTTAAATCCGTAATAGACCCGTCTATCTTAAATGCATCGAAAACCCACAAGTTTGGTTCCTTAAAATCAAGAACCGTTGGTCGACGGGACGATGGCGGGTTTTGCTAGAACCCGCAGGTTTACGACCCGCGCACACCCCTAACGGTGGTCGTAGTTGTACAATCATTAAGAGTAATTGTATTGTAACTGACAGTACATTAACGTACAAAGTAATTGTACTGTCGTTGATAGTACATTTCAGGCTCGTTTGCTTAGTGCTATTAACCTCTATTAACTAAATAGTCGATTAAGGCTAATTGAACCCTAACCCTAACCCAGCGTGTCTTCCTTTTCCGGCGGCATGCAGCCACCGGACCACTCAGCTGCTCAGCCGGAGCAGCAGCCCTTTCCCCCACCTGTTGGTCGTTCGACCTTTGCAGCAACTCTGGCCACCAAGCGTACATCTTCTCCTCCTCGCCTAACGCCTATTGCTCTAGCGCCACGTCCCATAGCTTCCGTTGAACAAGCTCCTGCGGTGTTCTTCTCACCTATAGAAGTCGATCAATTAAATCGTCAAGTTGATAATACATTGATCATGAAATTTTCGGCAGGCCGCCCGAGTCTTCAAGATATTCGTTCTCACATCACATCGGAATGGAATTTGGCATCGGAGCCTGCCATAGGGTTCTTAGATCCAAGGCACATCACAATCCACATGGGTTCGATTCAAGATGCGAAACTTGCTCTTTCACGAAATTCCAATAATATCAAGAACTGTATGTTCCGTTTGTTCCGTTGGACCCCGGATTTTACAATTGGTAAGGACAGCGGCAAGGTTGCTGTTTGGGTCCGTTTTCCGAAATTACCACTACCGTATTTCATTGGAGCGGCGCTTGGTACCATACTAAGAGCAGATGACAGGACTATTGCTTTCACCCATACCCACTATGCAAGGGTATGCATTGAAGTTAACGTTGCGCAACAACTGCCCGAGTCAATTTTCATAGGAACATCTAAGGAGAACGGCTGGTGGCAAAAGGTCGAATACGAAGGGAATCATACTTTCTGTGCTCATTGTGGATTGCTAGGGCATCTAGTCGGTGCTTGCAGGAAAAAACAAGGGTTAGCTAAACCTCTGCCAATGAATAACAACCCACTTGTGAAACCACCTACTCGCATACTCCGAAGAGGTGAATCCGAATCAAATCCTAAAGAGGACAAGATAACTCAGGTCCCCAACTCGCAACCAGCTAATGAGAAGGTCGACGTTTCTACGGGAAATATGGACCAATTGCGGCAACAAGGGGCAGACGGAATCAATCCTATCCGACAGGAGAAAGAAATACAAAACCCTAGGAATATTAACGATAATGGGGAAGGGTTACATTGGGATGAAGGCGCCATACAGGAACCACTGAGGCAATCCCAGATGAACAATAACGAGGAAGTGGGAGAGAAAATAACGATGGCAGAATCGAACGCCGAGTCGAGGCAGAAGTCTATCAAAATTGGAAATCAGTTCGATGCCTTAACTGGAGGTGAAGAAGAGAACTATGCATTAACAGTTTATCGCTCGAGCGAGATCCAAGGTTAACAATCCGAAGAGTCGATATTTTATCACAACTACCGATAGAGTTACCAGGTCTCTGGCAAAGTTACCCATCAACCCTCAAAGTAAATTATGTCGTGCATGATTTGGAACACGCGTGGGGTTAATCAACAAGCCACAGTGAATCGCATTAAAACTCTCGTGCACCAACAAAGGGTCTCTATCCTAGTTATTCTTGAACCGAAACTCCCCTCGACCAGATTGCAAAACTTTGCTTCAAAACTTGGTTTTCCCTCGTCGTTGCATGGTGAAGATAGAAATAAGTACATATGGATCCTATGGAAAACAGATGTTAATATTCAATGTTTGAATATTTATGAACAGGCTATCACAGTTTCAGTGGCCTTTCATCGCCAGCCGGTTTTCACTGCTACTTTCGTTTACGCTAGCCGCTGGCATAGAGTAAGAAGAGATCTTTGGGCGCACCTTTCATCCATAAACGACATCATCACGGGGCCCTGGTTCGTGGGTGGGGACTTCAACACTATTCTGGATATCATGGAGAAAAAAGGAGGGCGGATAGACGTTACTAAATTATACGATTTTCAAAACTTCGTATTGCAGAATGGTTTGGTGGACGCTGGTTTCATTGGAAATCCGTTCACATGGAGTAATAATAGGACAGGGCTGAATCGGGTGTGGCAAAGACTAGATAGGGTGTTGGTTAATACGACATTTCACAGTCTGTTTCCGGCTTTAAAAGTGACGCATCTCGAACGGGTCGCCTCGGATCATGTGCCGTTGAGCATTAGTTTGGAGCTTCTCCAACAAACAGGTCATAAGAAGTTTGTCTTCCAACGCATGTGGGTCGACCATGTTTCCTTTCATGAAGTCGTCAAGCAGGCATGGGCGACACCTATTTTGGGTTCCCCATCGCACGTCTTTCATAAAAAACTTCTTAATGTCCGCAAGGTTTTAAAGCATTGGAATTGGGAAACGTTTGGGGACGTTCATCGTAATATAAAAGAATGTCAGGAATTAATTCAATGTTTGGAGAACGCTTTACAGCAGGGTTGGAACACCCAAAAGGAAGAGCACCTTACGGCCACCAAAAAACGATTGGCGCAATACGAGCTTTGGGAAGCGGAAATGCTTAGCAACAAGGCTCGCATTGCGTGGGAGAAAGACGGGGATCGCAATACAGCCTTCTTTCATGCGAGCATAAAAGACCGGCGGCAGAAATCCTTGATTCAAGTGACACGTGCAGATGGTTCAACTACCACGACTCCTAAAGATATATGGAGTATCGCAGAAAATTTTTTCGCCCAATTATTCAATGCTTCGACGTATTACATGGAGGAGGAATTATTCCAAAAATATCCCTCAGACGGTGAATGAGGCCACAAATGAGGAGTTTTGTAGAATTCCAGAGATTGACGAGATTCTGGAAGCAGTTAAGGGGATGAACGCGTCAAGCTCGCCAGGCAATGATGGATTCACCGGTCATTTCTATATAGCATGTTGGGATATAATTAAAATGGACCTTATAACTATGGTGATTGATTTCTTTCGAGGTGGTTATTTGGTGAAGGACATGAATCGAACTACACTTGTTCTGCTTCCAAAGATAGCTAATGCTCGCAATATCGCAGACTATCGACCTATAAGCCTGGGTAATTTTTCTGGTAAAATTATTTCTAAAATTCTTGCCACGCGTTTGGGAAAAGTTTTACCTAGCATTATATCGGAGGAGCAGTACGTCCGGTTTTGTTCAGGGTCGACAGATGTCGGCTCATATTGTTATGGCCCAGGAGCTGATCCGTGATATACACCGCAAGAGTACCGGAGGGAACGTGGTTCTCAAGTTGGACATGGCCAAAGCTTACGATCGCATGGAATGGCGTTTTCTCCTTGGTGCTATGAGGTCTTTCGGCTTTTCACACGCTGCTTGCGACTTGATATACCGCAATATATGCAGCATTTGGTATGAGTTTAGTATTAACGGAGACATTGTGGGAAACTTTAAATCTTCACGTGGGGTGCGTCAGGGTGACCCTCTATCCCCGTTACTTTTCATCTTGGCTCAGCAGATATTGACATGCAATATTACCAAGAATATCGAAGCGAACCAAGTGAGTCAATACAAGGTGGGAAGGAATGAGCTGGCCGTCTCTCATCTACTGTATGCGGATGATATTCTCATGTTCACCAACGGAGGCCGGCAGTCCATACAACACCTCTTGGAGATTTTTAAAAAATATGAAAAGTCCTCCGGACAGTTGGTTAATGTAACGAAGAGCCAACTTTATGTCGGTAAATGGGCGGAGAGCGAGGCAACTCATATTGAGCAGATAACGGGAATTCGTCGTAAAGAGCTCCCTCTTAGATATTTAGGGGCACCAATTTACTTTGGGCGAAGCAAGGCTGAGTATTATGAAAACCTCGTGCAGCAAATCAGAGGTAAGCTTCTTGGCTGGAAAGGGAAATTTCTATCGTTTGCAGCTAAAATCACGTTGATAAAGTCCGTTCTAGCTAGCATCCATGTGTATACTCTAGCATGCACGAAAGTCCCAGCCTCGATTCTTGTCCGTCTCGAACAGCTCATGGTTTTCTTTCTAGCTATGGAGCTCCGGAGGCGACACGAGAACTCATTGGGTTAAATGGTCAACAGTCTGCACTCCGTCAAACGAGGGGGGTTTGGGCATTCGTCCTTTAAAACAAGTTATGGCTTGTATGCACGGCAAGCTCTGGTGGATGGTTATTCAAAATCATTCGTTGTGGGCCAAGTTCGTTAAGGCGAAGTATTGTGACAAAAGGGAGAACATTAACCGTCGCACAACTTCGCCTCTATGGATCTCGGTTCACAAGCATAGAGACTGGATGGCGGAATGTGTTAGATGGATTGTGGGTCAAGGAAATATAAAATTCTGGGCTGATAATTGGCTTGGAGAGGTTCTGACTGGTCCTCTGCCATGCGATAAGCTCCTTACGGTGGCAGCGGCTTTCCCACGTATATCAGAATTCCTCCCCTTAATTCCCGCAAGCGAGCGAGCCTGCGAAGATTATGAATATTCATTTGGACCATCATACTCCGGACAAGCTTGTTTTCACGCTTACTCAATCCGGGGAATTCTCAACTAAGATTTATTTCGATCACCTTATGAAAGCTGGACGGATAGAATTTGGCATAAATTCATACCGCCCAAAACAAGTGGATTTATGTGGAAACTAATTCATCATGGCATTCCTGTGGATCTTCGAATTATATCACGGGGTATCCCAATAGTCTCGAAATGTGTGTGTTGTCGAACGCCTCATCAAGAAGACATACAACATTGATTCCTTCGGTCTGAGGTGGCAAGGATGGTTTGGCAAAGGTTCGGCGACATGTTCAAGCTTCCATCGGAATATGCCTCTGTCAAACACGCATTGAATGTCTGGGTCCCGAAGCCAAAGTTATCTTCTCTGTATGTTATGATTCGTACGTCGGTTGTCTGTAACATCTTTCGAGAAATATGGATTGCGCGGTGTACAGTGGTGTTTGAAGGAGGATCGGAGGAATGGTTGTCAATAACATCTGCCGAAAGGTGATTCAGAGTAGTCATTTCATGGGAATAACATATGCACCAAGACAATCATCCACAAAGCTTCAATTAGCTCAGTTGGCGGCGAACGGCTTTAGCTCAAAAACGAGGAACGTGGCATAAATGGGAGGCGCCATTTGAGGGCGAGTTTAAGCTCAATACTGACGGCTCATCTAGAGGGAATATTATAGCTGGCTTTTCGTCATTTTTTGGAATTGGGTCTAATAATGTTGCTGAATTTCTTGCAGTTGCCCAAGGCATTCGTCTATGCAAGGATATGGGATTAGAAACTGATGATTCGCTTTTGGTGGTCAATGCTATCGGTTACAAAGTCGTAGCTTGGGAATTGATTTACGTTCATAGATTATGCATGCAAGCATGCTTATCGTCAAAAGAATATGGTGGCGGATCGGCTAGCTAATTGGGCGTACACCCATAAAGATCATCAAGAATTCATCTCCGGGAATAGCTTACCTGCTGAGGTGAAGGCGGCTTACATAAGCGACAAATTGGGTTAGTAAGATGTTTGGTTGATGAGATTCGTATTTAGTCAAGCCCTCTACTACACTCAAAGCCCGCAGTTAAGTGCTATGATTTGGTTAAATTAGTAGCACCCCTCCCCTGCGATTAATTTTGTAGGAGGTGAATAAAAGAGGAAAATACAATGTTATCCTTAAAACAATATCTTATTTTTTTTAATTAAAATACTTTTTAGACAATTCACATCAAATACCAGAATTTAACAAATTTAATACAAGATATGACTTTTGTTGTGTTTATATTACGGTGATAGAGATTAATATAACAATATTACTGTGTTAAACACTAGTATAGTTAATATTACTGCCAACCACGGTAATATTGTTGTCTAAATGGGAGCAAAAACATGTTAAAAAAATCAAAAAATCAAAAAAAAAAAACGAAAAAGACAATGCCGGAAACCGGCGGAAAAATCAAGAAGAAAACGAAAAAAAAAAAAGTCAACGCTGGAGCCTGGCGGCGACAGACCAAATTGTACTAAAAATTTGTGTTTTGGGTCAAAATTGAATAATTGTGAAATTTAGAGTCAAATTGAGGTTAAATTAAGTTAATGGATGAAATTGGAGCATATTAAAATGTGAAGGGCTATTTTAATGTTTTACAGACCTCTGGACAATGTGTGCTTTTTTGTAAAATAGTTCTTTATCTGGACCCCTTTATATATGAATAAGTACACATTGATGGGCTTATTTGTAAAGTGTTCATATATTAATGGGGCAAAAAATTAAAACTTTCACAGACTTGTTTCATTAATATATTTTATAACACTTCATTTTATTTAAGAAAAAATAGTCAGATATCATATCAAAAAATAATTTAGTTTATTTAATATATAATTTTGTATTGTTATTTTTATTTGAAAAAACTAATTTATAAATATTATAATAATATTTTAGGAACAATCTTTTGTTTTTAAATATA